CATTCAGAACAAACCTTGATTCAATCCTATAATAATGTCATTTGACCAGCTAACACATTACTACAGTGATATTGGCAGCCTCGAAAAATGGAAATTGATATAGCATAGGCCCCTGACCGTTATTCTGCAACTTCTTCTGTCCCAGGATTTCTTTTCCATGTCTGTCGTCATTTTTATGCGTAATTGGTTTCTTGGCCCACATATCTGCATCGGATCTACCCAGCACGTCAATGATGCTAAGAAGATATGTAAATTTTTTACCGTCCTCCGAGGCATATTCATCGAAACTGATTTGCTTGATCTTCGTCTTGCTGCATCGGAGAATCCTAATTTATATTTTTGTATGTTGTGACCTGCCGCATCATTGCATTTGCCAATGGCTGTGTGATAGAAGAGCTAGATCACCTCCGAAGTCTTGATTGTTCAGCTGCATCATGACTGTCCACTGTATCTCGCATTTCTCATCAGATGTTAGTGTCGTTAATATCCAGCCTTGTCCATGCCAACCTTGGCGTTTGGGTCTCGCATCAGAACAGTCAAATACTTCGATGAGCATCTCTCGATGATTCCCAGCAGTCTTCAATTACGCTCATTTTAATGGCGCAAATTTGTGACGCTCACAATGGCGTTTAATCGCTGCATGATGAGGTGTGAGTTGCGTGCGCAGCAGCTTCGTCATTTCTAAGTGAATGTGAGATGAATCGCAATTATAAATAGGAAAGACGATTTTCTTGCGCACATTTAGGCAACATCGATGCAGGTCATAAGGGTGTTATGTTATATAATGCCAGCTGATCTAAATTTACTTGATTTAGTTTTGTTCGTCCAGATGAAACAGCTGATGTTCCGCTTAATACCATATGCTACCGTGATATCTCGAACAAATAACGCACGAGACATCAGCTTTGGTTAAGCAAACTAGTTAATAACTGACCTATTTCTTACAATGCATTCCATTATTACTCCTAATTGCAGTGTTATATGATACGTGGATAATTAGTTCGTCATATAGAAATCAACGGTTGTCCGGTTCGTTACTAAAGCGGAGCTAGTACAGACAAAGTGCACAAAAAATAGAGCTTGGACATAAAAATTTTATATATAATAGATACAAAAACACAGTAGCCGAGACAATAGTTTAACTGATCAGCCTTTATAATAGTCGGGTGATACATACAATCTACATAATACTGTGAAGCAGAACAATTTGTTGGATTACAACTCCTTTCGAAACTGAACGTTGCAATTAATGAATGATATTTCATGTCAACCACGATTTGCATCCTGTTTCTAACCTTTCACTGTTATGATTTCCTACCGAGAAATCCTATCACAAGTAGATCTGCACAGTTATTGTTAGAAAGAGCTCAATCATGACTGATTGAGCTACCGAGTGAAAAAGAAAAGAAAGAAATAAACTATGACAACAACATCAGATCACTGTGCTTCATGATTATATTCTGTGAACGATTGTCATGTGAAACAATTTATTTCTATTGAAATACGTCTATTCATACCAATAATTTTCTATGACTTATCCTACTAGTAACTTATCTTCATCAACCTATTGATATAGATTATACGTTCATTAGATTGTCAATGAACCAGCCTGATAAGGTCAAGTTTCCCGACAAGGACACGTATAATGTAAAATATATTTTTGATATCTGAAAAGTACAATTTCAAATGATGATAATAAAATTATCGGCTTCGATAAAACCTGTTGTCGCCACTCGTACATCAAATCGATATACAGACATGGTCTTTCAAATCATAATGTTGATATTATTCAATAGAATATGATCTTGCATAACGTTACTCAGTGAAAACTAACATCTCGATCCCAGTGAACAATACATGTGGCGTGCAAATTTCCAGGCATGAATAAAATGTAGAATGACTTTGTTCAGTTCCATAATATTTCGCAACGTTCACGATTTTCATATAGGCGGCCTAATTCTTGTTACAAAACATAATAGATAATAATACACTACACGGTAGACTGCAATGGATTCCGTATAAATGAATAATTGCGTCGTTGTTTAAAGGCGAATCAACAGATTATACAGGAAACGGTGAGCTGGCGGTCAAATATTCATTCATCTTTCTTTTTTCAAGGCATTGGTCTGGAAGACTATGTACGAATAACTCTTGCATAAACAATTCGTTCATGACGATCATCGGTGCAATTTCAGTAGTCCTATATTCGAACAATATTTGCAATATAGTATTTATTAGCACCTCAGATATTTCCTAATCATTGATGAAAATGACAATAGATCAATTATCTGAAAGATTGTTTGCGGAAAACATCATTCATTCAAGGCACATTGCTGCTTTAGAACCAGATGATGACTCACGTAGCCGATGAACGTTTGTTACGAAGTTATCAGTGTGCGCGATCGAAATCAACCGATGACTGTGTTTTTTTTGCATCAATGTTACTCACATCTTCCTCAGTATAGTTATGTTTATTCTCAGCGAGAACAAATGGCCACAACTAACAGTTTTACTGATAATGTATAGTATAATTTGCACAGCTTCAACTTTACTGAGTATGGTGCCAAAAGTTATCTCTGGAAAAACAAAAGTCTAGAAGTTCGTTTGTACCACCTCACATATATTTCTCAGCTGGTGAGGCAAATGACAAATGATCAATTATCTGATACACTCTTTGTTGACAACACCATCTATCCAACGCACATAGCTTCTTTGGAACTAAGTCATGCACAACGTAGCCGATGAATCAGTGATTTTGTTACTTTACAAAGCGTCTACCACCCCAAGTGTGCATTGATGTTAAATATACTTCTTCTAGAAATAAGCAAGGAAGATGAACTTAATTCGTTCCTGAAGCTCCCTAATGTAGACATTGGACGCACAGATTATTCTGCAAGACCAAACTCACTCCCATACCGCTTTTTCTTTAAGCTCTCTGTAGATCTCAGAACAGTCTCCATTTCTTTTTTTCCGCTTCTCTGAAATATTAATAAACTCTAGCAATTAGCTTCACCCCACTAAAAAATACATACTAGTCATCGAATAGATAGAGGTTATTCGACCGTAGTTAGCTGATAGGCACGCATAATACCGCTCTTTTGAATCATTGCTTGAATATTACGATTTGCCGCTCATTCGCTGGTGATGGAGCATCCATCACCTGAAAATACATTGCTTTGTTTCCATTAGACAACACCCATAATCTCATGACATCCTGATAGCTTATCAGCGGTTTCTAGGTTCTCTCAAGAACTATATTGAGCGACCATCAACTCGCTGTCTATCACATTATTCTGAACTATAGAACAACTTCAATTTTCTCTCTTTCGTCAAACATACTTCCACCGAAACATCGTTACATAATAAGTTACGTTGAGAAACCGTGTATTTCAGCAATTATATCCTACCCTAAGGAAGTGAGTTGAATTCCTCAGAAGAACTATTAAAATAGAAGTTAATGTAAAAGTGTTTCTCAACGTCAGGCAGAACATAGAATATTATCTTTCACTCTTTTAGGCAGGCCTCATAACACAAAACGAGGAACATTCCTTTTGCCGTACGGTATACTACTATACAGATTTTAACTGCTCCGAACAATCCTGGTTTTAGGGGTTCAAGTGTTTTTTCACTTTTAGCTGCAAAGCGAATTTTGTTTGCTTCATTACCTTTTTTTCTGAAACTTATATTTTTGGAAAAGCCAGATACCGATATTTCCAAAAACAACCTGCAACTTGCTTACTCAGACACTCACAGAACTACTTATAAGTTGGCACTAAATGGTGAAAAGTACTGTGAACATTATAATAATTATTGTTTCTCACAAACCCTATCCTTTTTTTAACTTTTTGCCTCAAACTGAGACATCTTCAATCCACCTGCATCAACAACACGACTCAGTATTTTCTATACTGCAATCCACAATTTGAAAGATAAAATAATACAGTCAATTATCACATTAATCATCGGTGTGAATTTCGTCTTCTGCATACCTATTAGTTTATCTGCACCGATATGAACGGCCAAACAGTGCTATTTTCATTTATCTAATTTCCACCTGGCAATTTTTTTTCTGATGACAAGTTGTCAACTTTTTATCATAACAAAGCCTGATAGTAACATAACTGTTTAACCCTTCACAGAAATGAAGCAGCTATGATTTCAATTCAAATATTCCTTTCACTGGTTTGTTTAATTGTGCAAACGGTTTTTTTTAAAAAATATTCTTTTTAACATGCTTACTATGTTTTAGTTAAAGATTTATAACAGCAAGTGTCAGTGTTCAGTATACTCATCCTGATAAAGAGATACAATTCCACGAGTTGAATGATTTACATGCGCCTGGTTCATAAACAACAATGTGATTGTGTGTATACTTGAGATTATATTTGAATCGTGCATACTTAAATTCCAGGAATCCAGTTTTTTATCTCTATACTAGATCGTTTTGATGTGTCTCGCAAGGCGCTAAATAACTGAGGTTGTTAAGACCACACGAACGATAAATAACCACCTGTTCACGTTTATTTCAAACAAGTATTATCATCTGAAGCTACTTCATATTGATCGTCAGTGGAAATAATCCCACCGCCTTCGATGTTAATTTTCAAAATTCATGATAAGTCTTTGAATAATGGTTTCGAATTAAAAACAAAATTATCTAGTTAAATATTGTTATGTATTTAGTATAAGAAATGAGGAACAAAATTACACTACTGTTAAATTAATTAAGTTTATTATTTTGCGAGAAAACAATTATAAGCATTTGAAAATGTTAATCAAGTTAAAAAAACATTACTGCCAACAAGTTAAAACATTGTTTCAAAGTAGAAGTTTCAAGTAGAAATCAATGATTTCTTTATAAAGTATGGAGCATATAGGCTTCAGTTTGCAATTACTCTTTCTCATAACCGTAACAGCTATCCTCATTTTTCAAAATATCAGCCAGTCCTTCAATCAAATCCACAAATTCTTGTTCTAAGAATGAGAATAGTTAACGAAACTTATAAATTACCTTTCATAATTTCCAATCTTTGAAGTTCTATTTCTTTTATTTTGTATCCTATTTTATCTTTAATTTGAAAATAAATTAAAACACCAATTTTCTGTTATATTTTCACAAAAATTTTATAAATGTCATATGGAAAACTTTTTTATTAAGTTCGAAAGAAAAAACTGTAATATACGAAACTGAAATGAAATTGTACATGACAGTACAGAATGCTATCATTTATCATCTATATGTTGAATGTCGGGCTTAAGCTCGAATGAAGGAGAAAAATTGTTTGTAGAAGCACACTGAAAGTTAGCGATTGCAAACTAGTAGCCAGTAAATTTCATTTTATTCACTCAAACTTTCATCTGTCAGTTTAGGAGGCGTCATTTAAAATAGTTTTCATGTCAAATATAGATCGCTGAGTTACTTTCAAAGTCAAGGAATTGATTCCAAATATAAAACACACACCGACAAATGAAATTAGAGTTCTCATACAGTGTATGGGAATTAAATAAACGTTCATGTCACATTTGCATTGGACAGATACACTCTGATTATACTTGAAGTGTGTGTAACCTATCAGACATTGTCTAGTCCAAACGATTTTATTCAAAATAGATGCTGTAGTTATTTGGTCACGAAGAACTTCGCAATCGCTTATCCACCATAACAACTGCCGGCATGCTTTTGAAAGAAAAAACACAAAATGCTTTTATATGGTGTCAACTCAGTAATACCGTATTTCCCCAACTTGATCATGATAAAAGGGTATCACATCGAATTCCACTAAATGCTTTTCGTCCTCGATCGTTAAGAATGGAAAACATGAAAACCAGCTGAATTGGAAGTCACGGTCAATTCTCGAACAAGTATCAGCTGAATGAATTCTGTACTAATCCATTTGTTCCGACCGAATTACAACATTATGAATCATTGTGCGATAATTGGTTGAATGAAAGTCAATAACAAACACCAACTTCTTTGACTAGTGTAATGGATTTTTAACAGTGACTATGAATACATTATGTAGGTTTTGACCGTTGCTCAAAATCTTACATCATTCTTCTGATGGATTCAACGGGAAAATTATGCATGGATGACAGCGCACAGATTCGCTTGATTGAGGACCGATTTCAGACAACGTTACTCACTCCTAGATCAATCATATCCAATCGCTTTAAGACACACATTATAGAAATCTGCTAAGTGTTTTGCGAGGTAAGCTTCAGTATAAAATCTTCAAACCCAAAAGAAAAGTATTTGTCGGAAAAAGGAACATCGAGGAAAACAATTACAGAAATGAAAAGAAAGAATAAAATTTGAAATGAAATGGAAAAGAGAGCACAAGTGAGATTTCGTTTGCAAATCAATGTCGGCACCGGCGGTACGTTTTTAATTTCGATTGTTCAATAACGATTTAATTTGAAATTCTCAAACACTGTATATAATAATAAATTTGACGTTTAATAAAAAAAGATCTCAATCAGATAAATAATGCACAGACTTCTACTCACAGGCGCCATCATTTACTTCTTGACTATGTGTTATATATTGAACCCATTTTTGTCGGTTACCTATGAAATTAGATTTGATTATTGAAAAGCATCTGTATTGTCATGTGAAAATTGTTCTATACAATAGTATTATTGAAAATCTGCTTCGATCTTTATTAACTGAATAAAATTATAGTACAAACTGAAACCAATAAATTGGGAATTCATGAACACTTATGATAAAATAAGTGCATTCATTCACGAACAACAAAATCAAGCATATTGGGCTGATATGTTGATTTATCACCGTTTAGTTTAATAGAGCACGAAATATAATGATATATTTGTATAAAAAAATCATTTAATTCTATTCACAAATATAATGATAATTATAGTGATTTGAAAACATTGAAAATTGATGTATTAAGTTGAATTTTCACTTTCACATACTTCTATCAGATCGATAAGCTTGCAACGCACGTATTGCGTCTGGCAATTTTGATTTAAAATCATCTTGACAAGAAAAGAAATATTTATGTAACAAATAATAACACATTTTCGTTGATAACCTGTTTCTAACGAATAGATTTTTTAATTGTCAATTCAATGTTTCATGAATAATAACTATATTCTAACTATTATTTTTATTGTGATAGCTGAAAATGTCAACTGATGAATGACTATCTTTAAATGATGTTAGCAACCGTATAAATATTTCCTACACACACACTGAACTGGACAGCTATTTGAATAATTTTGTTTTAACCGAATCAAAATCTATTGAACAATTTTAATCATGTATATTTTAAATGTGACATTTCACATTACAAGTGTATAAATATGGAAACAAACCTATCAATGGATTCAATTCTTGTTCCAATAGCTCTAAACGGGTGATAAGTCCTCTCTTTATACCATCCATTATCCAATGCGTAATGTGACAAATGCTGTTACTGATGACTGGGTTAGGCATGCAGGAAGTGAACGTTTAAAATTGTCATATACGATATAACATTGATTTACGTGTCTACTTTAAAAGTGTAGTGATCATAAAAGTAGAAATATAATCAATAATCAGGCCCAACTCATATTTTATCATTTACGTGAAGCAAGCCAGATGATGGCAATAATCGGAAGACCCTAATGTCACAAGAGGAACTTATAACGCTTAAAATAAATGAACAATTATGACGCTTAATATAACATAAAGCTGATAAATAATTGTTCCTGCTGCATTGGGACAAAATATGGTTGACTACAAAATATGTAAGTCAGGCAACTAGCCAAAATCAACATGTCTAATACAGTATCGATAATCTATTCGAACAAGTCACGATGATCTATCCATCTTTTGATGATCGAACATGATATAAATTTAGATTACTCTGATCAAGGTACAGGAAATTAGATATTGTTCTTCCGGATCAAATATATAATAGTGAAATAAATTGCACAATGAACAGTTATATCTTAATAATTGTGTGAAATACACAACCTTTCTATAAAACTATCAACAAATATGCACATTGATTTACAGTTTATTGATAAAATCAACAATTTCAATGTCAGTGATTGTTAAAAGTGATAGTAGTATTAGTAGTAAATATAATGAAAATAATAATTATTGCTTCTTTTGTTTATTTGCAGCTGTTTTTTTCCATGAACTAACTACATATTACAATCATGTAATATCGATGTCAAATAACTTGTAAATTATCATTTAAACGGTAATGATTTCGTGTACAAAGGCACAAAAATAAGAAAACGACGACAATAGTAAGATGTTCAATTTTCAGTAGAATAAAACAGCATAGTGTATAGATGATGAATAAAAATGTCAAATAATCCACAGGAAAATATATAACAACCTACCAGATCAATTAAAATAACTTCAAGATTGTGTCTTTTTTCAAACTGCTTTTTCCTAAATGAATGTAGATATAAATGAAAGGTTATTGATGTTTACTTGATAGAGAGTGAGAGAGTAAGAATGAAAACGATCTATTGTACAATGGTTCAATCATTCAGTTACAATGTTCAATTTCATACTTGCGTAAGTTATTTGGGATCGAATACCACAATAAAACAGTTACGCAAGTGTCAGTTCCAGTCACAAAGGGCTAAATGTAGTCGAAAAATTCGAGGTTATAAAGAAGATTCACATTGAACGGAATTAAACGAAAGGTATAATAGAGTGATATTTATTGGAGAATGCATTCCAATGATTTAACTTCAACTTCTGTAAATCAGTTATCGGTTATATTCTCAGCAGTAGCTACACCGACATGATGGCTTTGTCTCTTAGTAAATTGATAAACAATTGAATATTTTTTTTACTTTTTATTATTCTTAGTATTGTGTTAACATCACGTATTCATCTAAAAGTGTTCCCTCCTGTATGCATTTTTATTTCTGCCTAATTTACTTAAACTCTGCTGATACATAAATTCAATAAAGCTTTGTGATTATTATTTATTTACGTTCAACAAACTAATTCAAATGAAATCCAATTGATAAACAGATTTTTATATTGGATTTTTATATTCTTACATTTGACAGTATTCTTGTCTACAATAAATCAACCTGTAATTTTATGTATTATGCGTAGTTACCAAATTCATTACATTGTGACTATTGAATAATAAATCACAACGATCAGTTCAATATTTTCTTATGTATAATAATGTTCGGCTGTTCGTAAGTACTATATCTAAGGGCTAGATCTTTGATAGTACGACGTGTAATAGTTACAGTGAAAATAGAAAATATTGGGTATAAAATACATGAATAAGAAGAAGAGTGTTCATCGAGCACTCAAATAATTCTTAGTACTTTAAATAGGATGCTTTGGATCTGGAAGAATACACGTGTACACGAATTTACGTAAGTCAAAATTCTGATCGATATACTCCTAAACTTACTGCTCATGTGTGCAAAGAAAACACTGTTCCGACGTTTACTTTAGACGTATGAAAATCATAGAAATCTGTACTCAAATAACAATGTGTTACATAAAGCAAGTCAGTATAAATGCAAACTCAGGAATAGGCTAATATCACAATCAGAACAATAAATGTAATAACAAATAGCTAAACATGACGGTCAAAGAGCAGAAGCTGGTTACCAAATGTGCATTCAATAATTAAACAGAGTTAGGACGACCACATAATTGAAAACGTTTGCATTTTTGGCCTGGGTATCATCAGCTTTCGACGGTTTTTCCAGTACGTATTACAAATATAAATCAACGGTGAAAGACCAGATTTCCGGACCAAGGCACATATTTTTACAGTTTGTGAACACTCTCCGTATCACCTTTCATACCTAAAGCAGGAGAAAACAGAAGTTAGGAATGCAGGCTATGAAATTTTAGTTTGAAGGACCTTCGTGATGATGTAGTGCGATTGAACTAGCAAAAGTGACTAGGAAAAATATATATTTGCTAGTTTAAAACGAAGAGTTGCAGAGATGAACCTTTGTTTATTGTGCATGTGACTGAGATCTTAGTCAATTATGGATATTCTTGATAAGATTTACCCAGTTCCGGATTTTTCACCGTTACTTGAACTGAGCTTTCAAAAGAAAAATAGCATCACCAAAGTAAACAGTTGAATAGAAATATATAGTTGGGTCATCAACTGCAACAATCTAAGGAAATAATGATTTGAATAATTGACCCAGTCAATATTGATGCATTTAAAGAAAGAAATAAATTTTGCGTTCAGAATTACAGCTCAACACGCATTGATTTGATGCAGTATACACTTTGAGCCATTATTATCGGCTAAGGGATATGCACGTGAAGTATGTGTGAAGTTAAGTTATCGATGAATTGAAATAAGCATTTGCTTTTCCTAATTACAAACGCCTGTCAAATATCGTCAAGCATTTGCAAATGAACAACATTATTCGATCATTTCTTCTTTGTCCTCTGCTTCACAGTTCCTCATAACTGTCATTACTTTTTGTTATTATATGACTCTGCATTCTTACTCTAATTCATGAGGATAGCGATTTCAGGAAAACTGTGCAAGGTTTGTTAATTTCCACATTATCCTTTACATAGCTGTTTACCAACTTCTGACACCTGTCTTCACTTTGAACTATGCAAGCGCTTTCCCTGGTTGATACATCTTACATCGTCCTACCTTTACTTTGATTGAAGCGAAGATGTTTGAATATGATTCTGCATAGTATGGTGCAAAGAAATTATTATTGTGACTGTGAGCATACGTTTATTCTCTGCTGGTTATTTTTTTTGCTGTAAGCATAAACATTGACTAACTGCTCATCGTTTTCGTTCTTTAAATACTGGTCAGGCATGTTTTCAAATCCTTATCTATGTCATTGTCCATAACGGCGTTCTTGTGTACGTCTCTAATCAATTTTGTCAGGTCTGATACTAGTATGATATTGAGATGGTGGAGAAAAATTGTAGCTCAGGTGGATGATTGTGGTGGTGTTTTGTTCTCTGAGCTGGTTATTTTTATTGTGGAACTTTCATTGTTCTTCTGAACAACATCATCAGCACAAACTTCAGATAAAAGAAGTGAAGCAATCGAATTTCTCCACATTGGACCTGTAGCTTGTTCTGCTAACCTCGATCTTGATTGGTTTCTGTTGTCTTTTGATCTGTCGTTGTTTGCAACTTTGTTTTGATTGCATACCCCTTTTGACCTGCTTCTTGATCCTATGATTTTTCTGACTGGTTGATAGATTGAGTCAATGTCGATGTGTTTGTTGAATGCTGATTGGCCTGAGTGCCAAGCTTCTAAAAATTCTCTAGTGTTTTTTGTCCTCCCCCTACCTAGCATTTCCACATTGTTCCAATCAATGGAAAAGGAATCAAACAACAGTCTATCATTCCTAGATGTACTAATCACCAGGACCAACTCAGGAAAACTAAAAACTCAAGTATTTCGGAAGCCAACACACACAGACGTAATTCTCAACTATGACAGCAACAACCCAAGAACCCACAAGATCAACTGAATACAAACTTTGTTCAAGAGAGCGAAGACACACTGCAGCACATACGAAGCATTAAAAAAATGAAGAAAAACGCCTGATGACTATGTTCCAAAAGAACGGCATGTTGCGGGTCGTCTTTGAAAATAGTCATTTATGTTTATCACTAGCAATTTGAAATTCAGACAAGGCAAGCGTTTTTAGCAACGAAGTTGTAACAGATTGATCGTTATATTATTCAATTACAGCCGAAAGCGAACAAACTGTTGTGCCACAAATACCTGTGTTGTAGTTTTTCGGTCAATAACTCGATTATCCAACCTTTTGTGTTTTGAAGCCAGAACAAAATGAGTGATAGGTAGCATTTTCAATTGTATTTGATGCTGAGAAACGCCTTTACATTAACTTTTATTTAGCAAGCTCATCTGACAGTTACAACGTACTACTTCTGGGTTGATCATCAGTTTTACTGATTGCGCGTATATTGTCACAGATAAATGCTGTTGCTGGAACTGTAAGGATTATATTCTGCGAGAACTGTTGTGTCAATTGACAGGGATGAATAAAATGTTGAATTACTGACATATTTCCTGTTGACTTTGTTTAGTCCTATAAATATTTCGTAACATTCATAAAGGCGGCTTATTCTTGTTACAAAAAATAATAGTTAAAAATACACTACACGGTAGACTGCAATGCATTCCGTATAAATGAATAATTGCGGCGTTGTTTAAAGGCAAATCAATAGATTCTACAGATAACGGTGAACTGGCGGTCAAGCATTCATTCATCTTTCTTTTCAAAACGATTTTGTCGATTATCCATTGAGTCTCGTATATACCCCGAATCATGGAAGTTGTCTCATATTGTTCCAGTACAAAAATCTGTACCGAAACACCTAATCCAAAACTACAGACAGATTATTATCACCTCAGTTATATCACGTGTAATGGA